CGAAGCCCTGCTGGAGAACCACGAGCTCCACCACCACTACGCCGTCGTGCTGTCGGAGTTCTCCCTCAAGTTCTCCTCACCCCTTGCTGGATAACCTGCTGCTCCTTAGCAATCTAGAGGCACTGTTGTCCCTTACCTTCTCATTTAGGGCAGAAAAGCAGGATTCAGAAACACTGACTATTCTGGCGGAAAACAAGCTGTCCTCTGATGGGGAGGTCACAATTCCAGATGTTGGTTTCAGGAGTCTTAAGCTTCTTCGCTTCTTCGCTCCTCTCTTGCCGGTACTGACCTTTTCTGAGAAAGCCATGCCAAAGCTGGAAAGGCTTGAGCTACGGTTCAGCATGCTGGAGGGCATTTGTGGCGTGGAAAACCTTGAAGGTCTCAAGGTGGTGCACCTGACATTAGAGGACAAAGGTGAACATATGACGAAAGAGGTGCAACGAGAGATGGAGAGAGCAGTGAAGAGGACTGATGGAAAGGCGCCGAGGATAATCCTTGACCAGTGACCGACGGCAGTAAGCCCAAGTTTGGCGCTTTGCAAGTCTGTTAAGTTGAAAATCATCGCATTCTTGCCTGTTCTCAGATATTTTCACACCATTGGTGCTTTAATCACTCCAAGAAGGATGAGACTGAAGAAAAAAGGATGATGCTTCATCCAGGTACGTTGTGTATAAGCTTGTTAGATGTTATATTTGTTGTATGTGCTGCAAGTTTGATCATCATTTTACGTGATATTGTAATTCTCTTTAAAACGCACATGTTCTTGTGAATTTCATGTTAAGACAATGGTCAAGTATTCATATGTATTCATCTCTGGACATCTGATACCAGAGGTTATAAATTGTTAAACATGTTGCAATGAAGAGGCGCAAAGGAAGCATACTCTTGTCCAGGGTCTCAGTATATTTTTTTCCTCTGAAGTAGTAGCGGCAGGGAACAAATCTGTAAATATTATTGCAAGAAATAAGTCTAGCGAAGCATCTGGATCCATAATGTGATCACTGATACTGAGTGTTCGGAGCCCAAATATTACCACTGAAGATTTACTACTCTCACTTCAAATCCACAATCCAATCCAAGTAGCGATACAAGATCCTGGAAACAAGGGAATTTACGGGGTACAGAAAAAATGGGGAAGAGGAGCAGGGGAAAGAGAGTAGGTGAGAGGAGTAGGGAAAAGTTCTTTCTTAGGTTCGGTTAGGTAGGTGTGGCCTTCAGGTGCGAAGCAGCCTTGGCTCGAGTCGACCAGCTCAACGGTCTGCGACCCAGTCTTCTGCTTCTCCTCTGTTTCTGAACTTGAAGGTTCAGTTTCCTCTACTGAATTCTCGTCAGTTACAGTCTGATCATAGGCAGCAGCGTCCTCTGATGAAATCATCTCCTCAGTAAATGGGTTACTAACACCGAGTTACTGACTGTTCCACTTAGATATTTTCTGGAGTAAGGTCCCATCTCCAATGAGAGGCTGTACAGCCGAATACTACTTCTGCAAGGTGTTGTTATATTAGCGTGAGCAGATTGCAGAACCCAGATGGAACAGGATTCAGCCTGCCACTGAGAAATGCGTGCAATGGGGGTGTAAGTAAAAGGTCATTAGTAGTGTGGCCTTGCAATTTCCATGCAAGTAAAAGGTCATGTGTAAGATATTCAGGGATGGATACGTATGAACAGATGACCTTTAGGGTGTGTGTGGTTTATCATTTATGCCCCCATTGCTAGCCTGTTTTGCAGTACTGTATGTTGGCACCGGCGTCGTTTCCCTTCATGGAGTCATCGTGGAGCCTTCACACCTCGCCCGCCCTAGTGTGCTTCGGGCGAAAACCTTAGGTCCATGTGAGGGGTCCTCTCTCTAGATTTGGTGGCGATGTTGTGGATGTAGCCGGAAGGCTCCTTTGTGGGGTTAGGTGGTTCTCACTCCGGCCAGTTTTCTTTCGACGATGAGATGCAATCTATGTACGACGGCTTGATGCAAAGGGTACGGTTGTGCACTTGTGGTGCTGGGAGTTTTAGCCAAACACATGTAGCTACTGGTTTTATGAAAAAGTGGTGGCGACATCACATGATTGACTTTGATTTGGGTGGTATTTCTCGAGTATCCGGTATCGAGATCTGAGGTGAAAAGTCTACATCTGACCCGAGTTGATTATACCTGGCGATATTTTTCCGTCGTTACCTTGTTGAAGGCATTGCTCAGTCAAGCTGGACTCGTTCTTTAGGGTGAAAATCCTGATTCTAGCCTTTGGAGGTTGGATCTGGCGATGGTGATGCATGAGCGGTGTTCTCTTTCGAAGGTGTTGTTGTTGAAGAATCTCGTTGTCCATGTGGTGTTTAGAGATGGTTGGTGAGGATAGGTCATTGTTGTAGTTTGTCGATCGCTTTGGAGTTTTTTTTCTCTCGCTTAGGCATAGTTTGCTCTTGTATGACTTTGCTATTTGTCGACTTGTTTTTTGGTGTTTGTGTGTGTGCACGTTGTTGTTCATTGTGTACATCCTAACTATGTAGAGGCTAGATGTGTGAGTATTGTGTTTGTAGCCACTTGACGCTTCACTTGGAGTCAATAAATTCACCCTTTGTGGGGGGTATGTCCTAATAATAGGAGAAATGGTACCACTTCACCAGTATCGGTATACTATATTACTCCCTCTGTAAACTAATATAAGAACGTTTAGATCACTAAAATAGTAATCTAAACGCTCTTATATTAGTTTACGGAGGGAGTATTTCATACTCCCCTGTCCCATAATTCTTGTGGTGATTTTAGTTCAAAATAGTAATCCTGCCAATTGAACGCAAGTATACGTTAGCGCTCCTTAGCTGGTGAATAATTAAACATGTGATTAACCTTGCGTTAAGGCTGCTAAAATGAGGTAATGATCCTGACAGGTGATTTCTGATTAGCCTTGCGTTAAGACTGCTAATATGTGGTAACAATCCTCACAGGTCCTGCCAATTAAGCTGCATTTTTTTTATCCTAGCCAATTCATATAGATGGATATGTTCCCTTCGTCCTAAAAATAAATATCTCAAACTTAGTATAACTTTGTATTAAAGTTAGTAAAAAAGAGACATTTGTTTTGCGACGGAGAGAGTATATGTCGATGAGTGTACGTTCAAACGCACAATGCCCTAGGCAGCTTTTTTTTTTGGCCGATTAAGCCGTCGATCTTGATGAGAAAGATGCTTTTGTTTATTTAACAAGTGAGATGATTATTTTTCTCCTAGATCAGCACAACACCTACTACATCTGACATGAATGTTTTATAAGGCATGGCCGGTGGAATTTTTTAATACTACTGATAGTGTCTAGTGTCCTCGAGCCTTCCCCCACCCACAAAATATACTGTCGCAAAAAGAAAAAAAAGAGTAGGAGTATGTGTGTAGTGCATGCGCATGCGCATGCTGCATGGCTCATGGTCCAGTTAAGAGACAACCGGATTTACAGGCGCTGAGAAGTACTACTACTAAGCTGCTGGGATTCAGGCTGGTGTGGATCCGTTTGAATGGAGAGCTTGGTTAGTTGACCTTGATTCGATTCTCTAATAATTGCCTATTGTGGATTGGATATTCATTGGGCAGCCTGACAACCTTAGCCTACGAGAAAGAAAGAATAGAAACAGGCACAGAACAAGTAGCTCCTCTACATGGGATAGAGAAAGAGGCTTAAAACGAAAGAAAGAAAATAATCTAGCTAGTAATGTGGTACTATCTAGGAGTCCTATGGACAGCTTGACAGGATGCCATGCCAGTCGTCCTCAGCCTCAGCTTGCGACCGTTCACTCTACCGCGCCCCTCCCCAACGTAACAAGTTGCAGGTGGTTTTACTGCTGATGGGAAGTGGCGTTTCTTGACATCGCATAAGCCGACGTTTGCATCAGTGTCTTGAGACTGGAACAATGTTCAAAAAAGAGTTTCATGTCCCCGCTAAGGCCATTTCCAACTGATGCCCAAGCCTTTGCCTCTTCCAAGATCCTCTGCAGGACCCTCTTCCACAGTTCACATGGTCAGGCCCGTGATTGCGAGGAGATCCTTTGGTAGTATTCTGCAGCCCGGGCTCGCTCGCTAGAGGTGCACCTCATGATGGCACCGGGCCCCGAAACCCGCGTCCGCGCCGGTTTTTACCTTATTAGGGGACGGGGATGTTGGTCTTCTCATCCCCGCGGGTTTATTGGTGGGCACATTTTACAACCCGTTTCATCGGTTTACACCCGTATCGATAGTCCTCCAAACCTGAAACCTGATAATACCAGAAAAAATAAGTTTTTTTTAGCTACGAACCATGAATTCTATTTTGTAACTTGCGTAATTGAAGTTCTTGTTGAGCCATGTATGGCTGAAATATGCTCCTGTTTGTTGCGAATTATGCTTATCTTTGTTGCTGAAATGGGGTACTGTATTGGACTGAAATTGCTCCTTGTAGTTGTTGTTATTGCTCTTTTTTCTCAAGTTATGTTGTTGAAATATGCTTCTTGTAGCTACTGAACCATGTACTATTGTATTGTGCTGTAATCTGCTCAAGTTATGCTGCTGAATATGCTCTTTTTGCTGCTGAAATGTTTGCTTAAATATGCTGATTTCCTTGTGGGTTCCTCATGGGTTTAGAAAACCCAACGGGTTTAGTGGACGGGCAAAAATCTAGCTTTGCACACAGTAACGATGACGGGACGGGTTAACAATTTTCTCGTGGGGATGAGTTTGGGCAGGCAAAACTTGTTGGATTTCGTCCTTGTTGCCATCTTGAGATGCACCAACTGCGGAGCAAAATGATCGCATGTACAGTACGTATAGCAAATTGTTGTCTGACACAAAAAATATAATTACTTTCTCTGCCCGTACACAGCTCCCGATCGACACCTCCGCTGGCTGAAGACATTAAAGAATACACGAACCTGCGCATCCTGTCTACCTCTCCATTTACTCATGCCACCCCATCGCCACCACATCCCCATCCCATCGCTCAACACAAGCAAAAAGAGCTCGCTAGCTGTGGGAGCAAAGGAGGAGCCATGGCCCAAGCCATCGTGGAGAGGGCATGCGCGAAGCTCAGATCCGCCATAGGAGATGAAGCCGTGGTGCGTTTGAACTTTACCACTGACCTGCATGATTTGTTGGAGGCGCTGGAGGACATCCAGCCGTTTCTGGACAAAGCCGTGATGCGGCCGTTCCGGGATAGCTGGCTGTCGCTTTGGCTGGGGGGTGCCTTGAACGCCGCCTACAAGACCATAGACACTGTGGATGAGCTGCAGGACGCGAGATCTGCAACGGTATTGCACTGCAACGACTGGCCGTTTTTTTTTTTCCTTACTTATTCCGGCGTAGCAAATACTACTATCCATTAGTACTTGCTGTCTTCACCAAAGTGATTCATTGATCGATGTTTTAGCTGAGGTGTTGTTTAAACTTCCAATATTTTGATTTCAAGGCAGTTTGATGTTTTTCTCTAAGCAATAGATAATTGTGCATATTTGCAGATGACGAGAAGGATGAAGAATGCATTGGCCATCCAGGTGCAGGAGGCGAAAAAACTAGTGATGTGGGCATATGAGCAGTCGCCTGAGTTATCATACTACTTCACGGAAAACCCCATGCTCCACGGAATTGCTGATGTGGAACGAAAAACCGGACCAGTTTTTGAGGAAGCAATGGTTCTGGAAAGAGGATCAGATAAACAGAGGATAATGGCCACCCTGCTATCTACTGAGCCCAACACCATGCAAGAGCACATCACCATTCTTCCCATCTTTGGGCTTGCAGGCAGCGGCAAGACAACCTTGGCACAAATGGTTTTTAATGATACCCACTCCGTCCAAGGCTATGACTTCCGAGTATGGATTCATGTGTTTACCAGGTTTGACTTTCATGCAATAGGCAACTCCATTATTTGTCAGGTGTTAGGAATGGGACAAGAAGAGATCAACCATTCTTCTTCAGACGTGCAGGGGATGGAAAGTATAATGAAGCGCCTTCACAAGCTACTTAATGGTAAGAAGGTGCTCCTTGTTTTGGATAGCTTGTGGGAGGAGGATCCCATTCAGTTACAATTGTTGAAATCCATGTTAACTTTCTTGGGAGACAAGATGGACGTAATAGTAACCACATGCAACCAAGCCATTGCCAGGAAGATATGCACTGTTGAGCCATATAAGCCAAATCGGTTGAGTGATGACATGTGTTGGAAAATAATCAAGGATTTTATCCCACCATTCAAAGGGGGAGAAGAAGAGTTGGAGAAGATTGGACGGGAGATCGCAAGCAAGTGCCAGGGTATACCATCAGTAGCTCGAGCATATGCACCCCTGCTAGCTTCTTCCCGAAATACTATGACATGGAAAGAAGCCATGGAAAGGAATACTTGGCTTGCAATTTTGACTTCTCATTTAGTAGTTCCCTTAGCCGTTTCAAGTTTCCAGCTAAGCTTCTGGAGTATGCCACCAAATTTGTGTCTATGCTTTGCTTATTATTGTGATATCTTCCCAACCAGACACACTATATTCAAAGATGACCTGGTTCATCACTGGATTGCTCTCCACCTCATTGAGCCATCTGAAATATTGTCTGCCACGCAGATAGCTGAGGACTATATTACCAGGCTTCAGGACATGTCATTCCTTCAAACTGCAGAGTTGGACCACGTGAGTAACTCTCTACTACTCTGCCGTATAAAATTTGTCGAATTTTAGAGACATGATATAGTGAGCCACCCCATCCGACAAATTTTGACAAATATTGATAATTATTCCTACTGGATGGGGTGGCTCAGGAAAAAAAACTGAAGTAAAATTTGAGTGAATAGTATCATAATTGTTCCTACTGGATGGATTACTACTATGTGGACATGGTAGTAGGTATGCACGAGGGACATGATATAGTGAAATGAAAGAACCACATACATCTACGAGACTAAGACGTATATAGGATTCTTAGTAATTTTTAATTGAAAAAAGAGGATCCTAAAGTAATCTCCAACGGCGGCCCTCAAACTGCCCGCATCCTCGGACCGCGGAAGCCATCCAATGCAGGCTTGTATTGGTCCGCCGAATGGCCCGGGCGTACTTTCTCCCGT